GAGAAGCCGTTGGTGCGGCTTGAGGGGGTTCAGAAGTGCGTCTCCTGAAATCGGCGTGCCCAAGCTTGATTCAGATCCCTCACCTTTGCAACCAACTTTCTTATCCAGACTCGAAGCCCCCAATTTTACACGCAAACTTTCTCAGTCGAGCCCATTTGGCTCCAAATCAGTGCTGCCAGCCCCCACACGAGCCATGCGTCCCGAAATAGCCTCGAATCTCCAACCGTCTACGAGCAGCCGCATCGCATCCTTGGACATCCGTACATCATCCGTCCTCAGCATATAGCATTTGCATAATGCTGATGCTTTCCTTTTTTGCATAATGCTGACACTCTCATTTTTCATTGCCCACCTTCCCCTATGTAATAGCCTATGTATTCCTGAGATCCAGCCCCCCCTGCAAAATCCTGGGTTGAGATTGCCATGATTCCGCGAACCAGCAGGAAGACAATCAAGTTTTCCAGCAGCAAGTGAAAAGTTATGCATTGCAGCTTTGTGGTTTGTACCCTGAGTGAGGGCTGTAAGTTCCACACACCAAGTTATTCCAGTCCTCCTTACAAAACAAAACCATTTCATCTCTAGAACCATTGCATACGGTTGGGAAGATGCAAAAACCTATGTTCGCATTTCACGCGGATTGCATGGGGTTTGTCAGGCGAACACGAGCTAGTTGGTATGCTGAGCCAGGTTTTCACAAAGGGTTGAGGCTTGGTTTGCATGGACATGTTCCCTCATGGAGTTGCTGCTAAGGTTTTTACCAGATGATGACATGTATGGGTCAACATTTTGTGGACAGGAACGGCGAAGACTTGCAGGTGTGAATGTTGCTTTCTGTTGCAATTCAGGACATTAGTGCAATCACAGACCTCTCAGTTCTTGCTTGCAAGACACAGCCAACTCCGACAATTCGGAGCAGCTTGTCGTTCAAAACCACCCTAAACAGTAGTTTCCAGTTTCTTTTCCATTATCCTAATTTGACCCCAATATTCTGCTAGACCATCCTCAGTCTTAAGAGGGACTATAACCTGAGCTCAGGCATAGCGAAATGCAGAGTCTGAAGTGCAAAGGCCGCTGCATGAGGCCTGGTATGCCAAGGAAGTGACAAAGAACAAGTGGTACTGGTAGTATATTACGGTATATTATAGTATAGGTACTGGTTCAGGGTTTGAGGGGTTTAGGGTTTTAGGGTTTTAGGGTTCAAGGTTCATGACCGTATTTTCCCAAAGGACTTTGGCAGTACAGTCTGCAGAGCGTCATGCCGGCTTTTGTGGCCGTGGGAGTTGCATTAGCCGCAGCAGATGGTGGTTTCCTAAACTTAGGGTACCCCTATATGACCACCAATGCATCATAATTTCATAATCCTAACCCCAACAAGAGTATCCCTAATGTTGGGAATGCCCCGGATCAACTTCAGGTAGTAGCAGCAGCAGCAGCAGCAGCAGCAGCAGCAGCAGCAACAGCGGTGGCGGCACCTAGTGTAGGGTCCAGGCTAGCACATGCGCAAGTAAGCTTGTCATAGGTTCGGGATGGAAGGGTAGGGCCAAGAGTGGCCGTAGGTTTAGGCCCACAAGTAGGTCTGAGAGGTGAGTAGGCTGTTCGTGACACCGGGAAGCAGCTGCTTGTCCCCTTCACTTTCATCCTTTCATCCGCATGCATCCCCATCACATGGCTTCAAATCCGAGAAGCGCCATGCCATGATTGTACCATAATGCACGAGACTGGCCTCGCTTGTGAAGATCTTGTTGGCATCTATGCTGGAAGCCTCCTTGCAGAATGCTAGCTCCACATTCCTTTGCTGTCAGTGCTGACGACTCCCGTGAGGCGGTTGTTTGCAGGGGATTCATTGAGATCCTAGTGCAGAAAGGGCGGGGTTTTCGCAAAATTGCGTATGCACATTGTGTTTAGGTGGACCCCCACCCAGTAATAGTGACTATCACGGACAAAGGTGATTATATTAGGTCCTCTTATTCCCATTATTCCACTATTAGACGGTTGGGGGTCCACCTAAAACAGCGTGCTCGAATTGGCCAGGATACACTTCGACGCCACTGGTGTCACGAGTTCCAGCCACGGCCTCAGCAGTACAGTTCGAGCTGCCGCAGTATTAGCCGCACTGAGAAAGTAAGGTTGGATTTTCGGGAAATACGCCTTTATTATCAGCGCCCTCGGATTGTTGAATGCTTCCTAAAGGTCCCCTATGTAGCCCTATACATCCCATATATATATGTGTATCTATTCATTCCTATGAATCTTGTACTTCCCCGGTCCTGCATTGCGCAGTGGTCGAGGCTGTTTTGGCCCCTTGCTCTGTGATTTACCCACTGCTTTAGGGTTATATTGGGGTTATATGGGGATAATGGAAAAGAAAATGGAAACTACTATACTGGGTCATGTAGGGTTTAGGGGCAAGGGGCAAAGGGTTTAGGGGTTTAGGGTTTAGGTTTAGGGTTTCCATGCATGGGGGTCCCCAATGTAGATCACGAAATACTCTTTCTAGTTTAAACCTGTTTGTAGAGCCCCCCTTCAAAGGTGCCTCGCACATCCCGCCCTCTTATCGATTTGAAAAGCTTATAGCCAGTGCCTAGACTCACAATGGCTTCTCCGGCGCGCTGCCCGGTTTAGAGTTTAGAGTTCAGGGTTTAGGGTTATCAGGGTTTAGGGTTATACAGTTTGGGGTGAAAGGGTTTATTTAGGGTTATAGGGTTTAGGGTTATCAGGGTTTAGGGTTATGGTATGGGGCTTAAGGTTTAGGGGTAGAGGGTTTAGGGATTAGGGTTTAGACTTCGGGGTCACTACCCACACTCCTCAAGGATCCCCCAAAAATGGAACTTCCCAAGAAGCCCCTAGTTTCCCGGATGTAGTAATGGAGTGACTATGAGGTGGCTCCATTTTTGGGGATCCTTTAGGGGCGTTTAGGGTTTAGGGGTTTAGGGTTTAAGGTTTAGGATTTAGGGTTTAGGATTTAGGGTTTAGGGTTTAGGATCTAGGGTTTAGGGTTTAGGGGTAGGGCCTGGATAGTGTCAAGGGTTCCAGGGTTTTACCCCTAAGATCGTACCCCTAAAAGGTTTCCCCAGGATGGCCCCAATATAGCCCTTATATAATTGCCCAGGGTCCCCTCGGCTAGAAGAATCCCCAAACCCAAGGGTACAATCCTAGGGGTACAAGCCGGTAACCCTTGATAGTGGGTGATGCATGACCCTGACATTTAATTCTGGCTTCGAAGACTTTGGATTTTTTACTGGGGGTTTAGGGTTTAGGGTTTAGGGTCAGCGGGAGTAGGGGAATATACTAGGTAGGGAGTGTGTAGGGATTATATTTCCTGATTCCTGCTAACCACCAGTAAGTTTTGGATTCTGGAGTTCGCAGCCGTTCGTTTCTTGATGACGGCCGGGATGCATCCAATGTAGACGCTGCAGCTGAAAGTGCCGGAGCTAAGCTAACCCTAAAACCCTCAAGCCTAAACTTGATCTGTGGCCGCTTGAAGGACGCACAACTCCAAAAGTTTGACTAACCCTTAAACCCTGATGGTTGCAGGTGTCCGGAAACATTCTTGAGCATCACCCTTGAGGCGGGCTGACACGTCATGTGACCCATAGGTTGGTAAAGGAAAAAGCTCTTTCACGGCAGTTCGCGCTTGCATTTCGCAAGCACTGGGTGCCTGTATTCTTTCGGGACACGCCTCCACCTAAGTCAATTCCTAAACCCTAAACCCTGAGCCGTGTATGTAGAACTCCGGTAAGGCAGCACCCTACAGTAGGGTGTTCTTGGCTTGCCAAAGACTGCTCTCAATGATTCAAGCCGCACGTAGAAATCGGGCGATCCAATTCTGCGAGGATCCACACTTTTCCCGATTATATTATACCATCCTAGTCTCCATTTCATTATCCGTTTCCTTTTCCGTTTGATTCTCCATTGCTAAGTCCCAATTTCTAAACCTAAGCCCTGAATCCCATCATTATGCCTGTACATAACCACTGTATGCTCCTTTCAGGATCCACTGGAATTCCCACTTCTTCATTTCAATTCGGACCAAGGGTTTGCTGTGACGTAAAGGATCCAAGAAAAGGAGCCCACCGAAATGGATGCATTTCTACGTTGGGGAAACTAGGGGATTATCGCGGGACCCCATGTTTTGGGTCCTTCAGGGTTAGAAGTTCCCTGGATAGAGGTTTGAGCTTCGCTGATTGGTAACCCGCAGGAACAATTGAAACTATCATTTCTCAAAGTTCCAGGAAATGCAGAGAGATTGCCTCATAATTATTCTCCGCTCTTAATTTCATGCCATTGGCTGCTTGTGTTGCCTTGAGGCTGGTTGCTTGCTGCTTTGAAGTGAGTAGTATTTTATTTGGGGACACTATGGTACCCAATATAGAGTAAGATTATATCCTCCTTTTGGGGTATAGTATTATATATAAGGGATATAATCTTACTAGGTTCAACCACCAAAAAAAACACTACTCAAGTGGTCTGCCTGCTACAGGTGAAGGGATGAGCTCCGTCATCACCTTAGCTTCCCATCGCTAACAGAATCAACCGAGGTTCTTTGTAGTTTCTTATTGTGAATGGACAAAGGTTATGAGGGACTGATCTCATGATTCATTTAAGGCCTAGCGGCATTGTAGAGATGACTACCCTAAACCGCGTAAAGGATCCATCAAAAATGGACGCCCACCAAGTCCCCTAGTTTCTCACTGTAGTATCAAGAATTGGGCTATGCGCATCAGAGCCATGCCTCATGTCTGTTGATATTCTTAGCATTAATATTGATATTATCATTAGTATTAGTATTACCACTGGTGCTGTTACGAGAGTAGAATCGTTTTGGCATGCTTGCTCAATGAAAGACCGTGCGCAGTTTGAAAGCAGCTCTCCTGTGCAGCGCAGCTGCTTGACATGCCAGGCTTGTGCTTTTTGATTCTGCCCGTCAGGACTCCTGCAATGCCTAGCAATTGGCTCGATAACTAAGCGCTAACGTTTCCTGTGAACTCTTCGATAAGAACATGGCCATGTTCAAGTTATCCGTGGTTTGGACAGTTTTGTCCGTGCTGCAAATTGTGCCTGCGGGTGCGTACCGTTCGGCAGTCCGCGACCAGACCTTCCGTGAGACACCTCAAGCTTCAGAAAGCAAAGCTGAGACGGAAAGCGAGGCCTTGCCACCACCAACGGTGGAGGAATGGATCGAGAATCTAGATCTCAACAATGCCCAGGCACGTGCAGATGCAGCTGCAGAGCTTGGAAAGTTGGGCAAGAAGGCCGCAGCGGCCGTGCCGCGGCTGACTGAGTTGTTGAGTCAGCCGGGAGTGGGGGTGGCTGCAGTGAAGGCTTTGGGGGAGATGGGAGGTGCTGCCAAAGACTCAGTGGCAAGCATCGTGGCTAAGATGCCTGGGTGCCAGTCAATGGATTGTCCATACATGGTTGCGGCCGCGACTTCCTTGGGGAAAATTGGCAAGGCAGACCCAGAAGCCGTGTTGCCAGCCATGGAGAAGGCTTTGACGGCTGACAAATGGAACATTCGCTGGTTGGCTGCCACAGTGTGCGGTGATCTTGGTGAGAAGTTCGCTTGATTTGGTCCCAAAGATTCGCATGGTTTCTTTGGCTGACAGCGATGGTGATGTGAAGAAAGCCGCCAAAAGGAGCTTGGAAGAGATTGCCCAGGCTGCCAAGAGTCCACTGCCGAAACCAGATCTTCCAGAGGTGCTGCAGTACCTGAACAAGAACCAGGCTGACGTAAAACTGTATGTGCTGGAGAGGCTGGGGGAGATGGGAGGTGCTGCCAAAGACTCAGTGGCAAGCATCGTGGCTAAGATGCCTGGGTGCCAGTCAATGGATTGTCCATACATGGTTGCGGCCGCGACTTCCTTGGGGAAAATTGGCAAGGCAGACCCAGAAGCCGTGTTGCCAGCCATGGAGAAGGCTTTGACGGCTGACAAATGGAACATTCGCTGGTTGGCTGCCACAGTGTGCGGTCATCTTGCTGAGAAATCGCTTGACGTTGTTCCGCAGCTTCGCAGAGCCTGCAAGTACGACAGCGACTCTGACGTGAAGAAAGCTGCGCAGGAGTCCTTACGACTCATCGACGAAGCAAATGTTGAGTCACCCAGCTCGTGAGACAGTGCTGTCTACGTGCTGACAGAATACCGGAACAAAGTTTCTGATTGCCTGAGCCGAGCATTCTCCCTTCTTGTACCTGTCACACTCACGATCTTGCTTCACATGATTTTGCTTCTTGACAAGGAAGCCCCTGACGTGCTATCAGGAGGTGTGTGCCTCCGTCGCGTGTCCAGAGGCGTGCATGGTTCGGGGCTTAGGTTTGAAGGATCTCCAGGCTCCACGGGTTTCCCCCTCCCTACAGTCGTATATCTTTGGCATGATACGAAGGTGGGCATTCCGTGAGTCTACGTATGGAAGAAGGTCTTGCAACGCTCAGGATCCCCAGTATATAGTAGTTTTCGTAAATAGGGGGAGCCCAATGGAGACCCCAAAATGCTATCATCTTTCTCATGGAGGCCACAACTCCGCGAACCCCCCTATATGAGCTATAATCTTCTCTCCTCGTATCCCCCTGAGTAACCATTTAAATGGTCCCCAATATATAATCCCTATATCCCCCTCTACGGAGTTTCAATTATAGACTATAGCTCATACAGTAAGTCCTAGATCCACTTGGGGGTTGCCCAAAATTGGGGGTTTTGGGGGGTCCCTATAATCAGGACTACAGTAGTTGAGGCTCTATATTGGGGTCCCCCTTTTTTCGGAAACTACCACTTAAGGACCCTTCCTGATTGCGAATTCCGGCCACGGGCCTTGGTTTTCGGAGTAGCGGTTAAGGGTCATTGGTTTGGGGTTTAGATTTAGGGGTTGAGGGTTAAGGGCGAGGGGTTTAGGGTTAAGGGTTTAGGGTCTAGGTGTAGGCACTCTTGCATGAGAATATTTGGATTCAGGATTTGGGGTTTAGGGTTTAGGATTTAGGGTTCGCGATTTGGGTTGGGGGTTTGATTTCGGGTTCATGATTTGGGGTATAGGGCCTAGGCTTCAGGATTTGTGATTTGGGAGTTAGGGCTTGGGATTTACGGTTTAGGGTTCAGGAATTCTAGTCCCCCCTAAGTAAATAGAATATGGTTTTGGGTATATTATAAGAAGATCCTCATATACCCCATAGTCTCTCTACTTAACGGGGACTATAGGATTTGGGATTAAGAGTTTGCGCGCTGCACAGCAGATCTGGAGGCTCCCTGGATAGAGGGGATTTAGGGTTTAGGGTTTAGGGGTTTAGGGTTTAGGGCCACAGAACCAGCTCTGGCTTCAAGGGATGGTAGAGGGATGGCCTCGTACTTATTCTCACTGCACCCTAAACCCTAAACCCCGCTAAACCCTAAACCCTAATCCACTCTTAAGTTTCTGCCGCCCTTGACTGTTTGTGTTGTCTTGAGGCTGACTGCTTGCTGCTTTTAAGTGAGTAGTATTTTGTTTGGGGATACTTTGGTACCTAATATAGAGTAAGATTATATCCTCCTTTTGGGGTATGATATTTTGTATAAGGGATATAATCTTACAAGGTTCAACCACCAAAAAAAAGCACTACTCAAGTGGTTTGCCTGCTACAGGTGAAGGGATGAGCTCCGTGATCACCTCAGCTTCCCATCACTTGTGTGAAGTCAACGGAGGTGGTTGTCAAATTATGGTCCCTTTTTTGGGTACCCTTAATATTAGGTGCCGTTTTATAATAGGGATCCAAAAGGGGACCATGATTTTGACAACCACCCACAGAGGTTCTGTGTAGTTTCTTATTGTGAATGGAAAAAGGTTATGAGGGATTGATGTTGTCTTATTTAGGACGCAGCTCTGCCGAGACTACTATAGGTTGGGTGAGCCCCCCCCACCTTGCAATAGTGGTATATAATAGGACTGATACAGTCATCAGTGTCCCTTCTAGTCACCATTACTGACCGGGGGGTCCACCTCACCTATAACTTGGGTACTGTCCCCCACTCTGTAACAGTAGGACAATATCTATCATATAGTTATATATATATAGCCCTTAAGACAACCCTAATATAGACTTTGTGGAGGTGACTATGGGATGTTTTCCTCCGCCCCCGTTCCCTACTAAGCACCAGTCGGTTTGAGGGGCTCATGGCGGTGGCAAAATCATCATGCTTTAGGTACTGCACCCAAACAGCAAAAGTTGGATAAACATCTGTGTGACACTTATACATAGCCCTAATACTACCCTAAACCTTGAACCTTAAACCTAAACCCTAAACCCGAAACCCTAAACCCTAAACCATGTAACGCAAGCCTTCAAGCTCTAGAGATGAGGCATTGCCCCGACGTGTATCAGATGAAAGCACCCTTTACGGAAAATCCGCCGCTGATAAGGCTGCTGCCCGTTTGGGGATTACCTAGGGTTTAGGGTTTAGGGTTTAGGGTGTAGGGGGTATGTAAAATAATGGCTTTTAGGGCTATCCTCATGGGTTTAGGGCCATTATTCTACATATTTTTGGGGGTTTAGGTAGGGTTTGAGGCTTAAGGTTCAGGGCTTCGGGATTCAGGAGGGTTTAAGGGTCTAGGGTTCAGGGTTTAGGGGCTAGGGTTTAGGGATTCGTTTTTGGGACCGGGGTGCCTTTTGGCTGCGGTAGCCCTGGGAGTTTTCAACAGAGTCGGTTTCTTGAGGCCCAGAGTGCAAGAACTTCAAGGCAAGCTTGGAATAGAGGCAGGGTTAGGGTTGAGGGTTGATAGGGTTCAGGATGTAGGTTTTAGGGTGTAGTGGAAGGACCAACCTGGTGGAAGAAGGTCCGGTCAAAGAGGTCAGAAAGAGCTTTTTGCCCCATACCCTAAATGCCCTCAGCCCCAAAGCCTACATATGCGGGCAGACGGAAATGGCCATACAAAAAAACTACATAAACCATGTAGGATACAAAGCCTACGCCCCAAAGCCTTAAACGTTAAGCCCTAAACCCTGCGTAATCCCTGCTGGGCTTTCTTGGGCATGTAGGTATCAGGCCATGAGCATTGCCCTTCAGCGAGAGAACGCCCGTGCTGTGCTGCGCCGCATGCCAACGGCAGAGCTCCCCAGCGGGCACCTGACCGAGCCGTGAGCTCGGCGCTGAACCCGTCATCTGGTGTGCTGTAGTGGGGAGGACCCCCTACAGGGGAGGTGGGGAGGTTGACTGGCATGGCTAAGTCTTCCTCCCGCGACTCCGTTGGGATGTGAGTCTTTTGCAGTAACACATGACCATTTCACGCTCTGCGAGCTCAGCGAAGCCAGCGGAACGGCAGGAAGCCAGCTGGCGCCTGATGAGCTGTCCCTTCTAGTAGTGTGCCCTCTGAGACTTGTCGTTGCGCCAAGCATCGGCGCATTTTGTAGAGCTACAGTTCTGATGTGCTCTCAAGAGCCTTTATTAAGGCTAGTTTTGTAGGCCCCTTGTAAGAGGTCTTGGGGGTGACCCTGGCAAAGAAACAGTAGTTTCTGAAAAGGATCCCCATTCCCAAGGGTCCAGGTGCCCAAATCTTGAGGCTTGCAGAGCCAAGTACCAAAAACCATTCAGACGGTTGATGCTAAAGCTCCTGCATGACCTTATTCTACAGTACCATAAGTCTCAAGGTTTAGGGTACTTAAGGTCATGCAGGATGTTTAGTATCCACCGGATCATAGAATTTGGGTCCTACAGCCCCACAATTTCAGGACTTAGAGCCTCAGAAACAGGAGACCTCAAGCCTCTTCATGTGATTGCTACACATTCTCCGGTCCCCACAGGTACACAGACCCCTGGGAGGATCTAGAAAGTAGAGCCACCAATAGAGTACTGTACCTTATATTAGTATAGTTGGGTAATTTCTAGGAAGCCTTAAGGGGGAACCTACTTTCTAGATACTCTTCCAGGAGTCTGGCTATCCTGTTTGGAACAAGCATCCGAACAAGCGTTCAACTCTTGCTCTGTTGGACTTGCGGTTCAGGCTCTAAGGCACCGAGACAACAGGAATCTATATGAGCCATAACCTACACTCCTTAAAGGGGGTTATATAGGGGATTATATAGGGGGCTACTAAAAGGGTTATTAAGGGGGATATTAGGAGTTTAGATTATGGCTCATATGGAGGGGTTTCTCAAACCAGGGGACTTGTGGAGAGCCCATGGATATCTAGCGTTGGAGGTTTTTTGGCCCTATGGTGAATGCCTATCAACCTCAGACCGGGAAGACGAGGATACTTTGAAGCTTGAAGTAAGGCATGCTGAAGAGGATGGGGGAATCTGAATTTCCACGCCTGTTGCACCAACCCACTTTCCACGAGTCCACATATCATCCCGTCTGACTTGCTTACTGCTGTGCAGTATTACACGGTCAAAGCTGAACAGCTGGGACATGTGAGGGGTAGCTGACATATCATATACGCCATGACATAAAATGGCGCACCTAGAGTCCTGAATCCTGGATGGAAAGGCAACTTCCCGAAGAATTGCTAGATTTCAGGTAGGACTTTCTATGATGAGGTCCTAAAACTGCAGGTCCTTTGGGCCTTAGGCGGGGGCTACCTCAGAGCCGATCCCCCTTTTGGATCCTGGCAGCATCACCCACAGCATGCCAGCGCAGGTCGCTCATCCAGTCATATCCGGATTACTATTATGTGCCCTGTCAGCATGTTCGGGGGTTTCCAAAAAAGGGGAGCCCGAGTGGCCCGAGTTGGAGGCCAACAATTAGCTCCTCAAATGTTATGCAAACTCTCATGATGCTCCTGATTATCATACACACCTTGGTTGGCTCAACTCTGTGGAGTGTGGTGTCTTGGGAAAGCCTGACAATCTTAGCCTTCAGTCCCTCGATTTTGGCTTATGCGACCACCACGACTCAGCGGGCGATCGGTACTTCTTGGGAGTTTTACTGCTCATTGAGTCTTTTCCATCTGATATCTCTCATGAGAAGTGATCTTGTCGTCAGCAGCACCAAGCCGGAGGCTGTGCTATCCTATCCTGCAAGCTTTCAGGGGTAAAGGGTTTGGCAAGAAGGGCGCCTCTAAACCTTAAACCAGAAGTGTGTCTCAAGCCACCAGTTCCTGAATGCCCTTCGAACGCCCTCACTGCACCTGGCGCCCTGCATTCCCGAGGCCTG